CGAATACCTTGTCGATAGTATGTTTGAGTTACCCTTATACTTTTAGCCTTCCTCCAAAAGCATTTCTTTATCTAACTTTGAACTTTTCAGAACAACATCGCGTCGGTAGCCTTTCGCATCTACGAGCCTCCTCCTGACCAATCGCATGGCTTTCAATCATCCGCTCTCGAGATTCAAAGTTCCCTTCGCGACCAAGGAAAGCTTGTTTCGTACGACGCCGAACGAGTAGGAATTTGGATCTTCCAAATCGTCAGCAAAGACGGGACGAGCAGTCTCGTCAGTTCTGCCCCAGGATCTAGCCTGGAAGCTTCAGGCTACACATTAGGGATGGTTGAGGAGGGTACCCTTGAACCAGTAGCTTTGCAGAAGAGCCGCATCCCGGGAAACACCACACAGAATGCCCCGAATAATACAGCGTCGACCTCATCTCCGGCCGAGGCAAATAGCCGTAATCCTTTGATTTCACCAACTCAGGTCGCTGGAGGGGCTTTGCCAGACGGAGGGTCTCAATCTTCAGCTCAGGCTACCGACATGAGGACGCCGCGGATAGTGCCAAAGATTATCTACGAACAGTTCATAGTCGCAGTCATTTCCTCGATAGCGTTTGCTTTCTGTAGTCGGTCTATGGCCATTCCACTGAACTACAGGACAATGTTGATTCCACCTTTGCAAGCCGATGCGAATGACCGGGAAAGGGGCTCATTGCAAGCCGATCCCGTCGTTGGCACATTCAAGACATATCTCACTACTACGGGCTCTCTTGTTGTCAGTCTCACTTTCGCTTACTGCAAGAACCTGGCAACAGTGGAAGATGTTCTCACAGGTGATTCCTCTTCGCCAAGTAGCTCAGTGCTGGCTGCCCCTTATGGAGTTTTTGCAACAAAACAGAACTTTGCGAATGGGGATGGTCCGGATCGAAGCCTAGCACAGACACCTAATACGCAAGCTTTGAGCGTGAGAAGTGTTCCAGATACAAATGATTCGCAATGGAAGCACTCATGCCTCAAAGCACTCGAATACTGTGGACTTAACCCATCTCAATTCAAGTCGAGCCCCTGGGTCAACCTCCTTATTTCCAAGCCGACTTCGCAAGATGCGGACGGGGAATCTAAGCGATCACGGGCAACAGTTCCCTGGCCAGGATCGCTCTGCTTTCGAAAGAAGCCACTGGAAATGTCAACAACTCATCGTGTTGGCGACACAATGCTCAGTGGCCACGAGGAATGCCACGATCCTTTAGGAGATGCTCGTGGATGGTTCGCCGGTGCGCCTGAAAGGGAAGAGAGAATCTCCAAACGCAGAGCTGAGCGAATGTATGCTATCCCTAAAGAAGTTAATGGTGCGAACCCCGTCGCCCAAAATCTCAATGGGCAGTCTCCTTTGACCATGAGGCGACCTAGCACCGCTGCCGCTGGTGTCATGTATCCAACACCCCCCGACGCAATTCAACAACACATCGGCGTTGCCCCTTCCTTGGATGGAGCGATCCCAAGTCCCAACAACCCGCCCCCGACCCTTGCAGTTGTCGATGCTGATATCACGATGCCAACAACGACATCGATGCCTGATGCTGAGAACGATGCCTGGGGAGGCCATCACGAACAAAAGAGAGAACGAAGCGACAGCAACGCTATGGGCGATTCTGACGATGTAATGAACGACTTGGGTGAGGATGTGTTCGGGGACCACGATGTAACAGAGGATGACTTTAATTTCTTTGACGGCCCTGACGGCAACGATCTGGACATGGACATGCCAGATTTGCAACCAGCTCCTACTGCACCTGCGCCCCAGGTAATGCCTCCGCCGTTGTTATCGCATCCGCAGCCTCACAAAGCCATAGAGCCGCAGCCTGAAGTCAAACCAAAGCCAAAGATCAATGATTCTGTCTTCGCTAAGCCAGAACTGAAGCATGCCAGGAGCTCACTCAATGAGGAGCTTAATCACAGAATCAAAGTTGAGCGACCAGATACTGCCAAGCGAGGGTCTAGTCCATTTGACCCTGCCACGGTGTTCAAGCGAGTCCGGGCCTCGTTGTCCAGCCCTACCAAGGATGATTATGCTGTCCAGCCACCTCGGAGAAAGAGTAGTGTCTTTGAAAAGGTCGAGTTTGATCCTAAGATCCCTCTGATCAATAAAAAGTATGAGCATGGCGGCGCATTCGACTTTTCAAAGGACCAGCGTAATGAAGATTCGAGGCCGAGTGCGCATAATCTTTCTCGAGATGAGTATCTCGAAGGGCAAGGAAAGCTGAAGCAGACTTCCAAATCACTTCTTGGGAACTCCCTTATCAGAAGTTTGACTGGTATTGACACATCTACTACCCATGCAAGCCCCCAGAGACTGAGCGGGCATGATTGGATCTCTGAGGAGAGTGATCTCGAGTCAGACGGAGATGATATAAGTTCGCTCTCTGGTGGTCCAGTTTCTCCCGTCAAGTCCAGTATTAAACGAACCGTCGTGGATGATGATGTTCTTTCACAAGCTACAACTTCTAGAGAGACAGAACTGCTAGATGATTTCACTGATGAGCAACTTGCGATCGAGCTCCCAAAACTGTCCAAAACAGAATCGCCAGAAATGCTGCTACACCGTTTCTTTTTGGACCCAGAGCCACTGAACGTGGACGTAGGCCTTTCCAACCACGATTTTGTTGAGATTGCGCAAATCATCACCGAACAGGCTGCTACCGGGCGACTTGAAATTGGCCTCGAGCATAAGGCTGAGTCGTCTGTCTCCCTTGCGACTATGAGGAGCCATGAGCTCAATATCGCTCGGAACTCCTTACAACTTCTTCACGATGTCATGCCTTCGAATTTGGGTACCCCCACGGCTGTGCGGTTGAAAGGGCTGCTGGAAATTCAGGACCTCCCCCTTGTAGGACAACCGAGCCGTCTCCAGCCCAGACCGATTCCGGGCAGAGATCCCAACGCTGAGCAATTGCGCGCAAACAATCTATACCAGATTCCTGTACCTCATCTGGAAGTGCGCAGATCAGAAACGAAACTCTCAGTACTTCCATCATCAATGTCTTTCTGGGAAGGTCTGGGGCTGTCACCTTCGTGGGGGCCAAAGGACATCTCCGCTCTTTGCATCTTTCCAGGCTGGAAGGGGATATCAGACCACGTTGAAAGTTTCCTCGGCCGCGTAAAGAGTGTATATGAATCGTTGAAACTTGGCACTCTCAACAACCTGCCGTTGTCTGGAGACTGGGACGATGGCGTCTTGCCATATGAGGTTGATAGGATCTCGACTTCGCCTGACGCAACCGTAACTGGTCATGGCTCTGCTCTTGTGGAAAGCATGGAAGTGCTCCGAAGCTCTCTGTCAGAGTTGAAGTCCAAAGACAAGAATCTGGTCATTTACTTTGTTTACTCGCCAGATAATCCGGCTTCCATCATCGAGGCTTGCACGGCTTTCTACCGTTGCTTTGATGAGTACAGCGACCTACTAGCAGCTCGTCGAGAATCTCCACAGAATGAGCTGGTGCTGCAGCTTGTTTCATTAGATATGATCTCTTCTACGACGTCGCTAGTCGTCCCGACTCCCGCGGAAATGATCAAGCTCTGCATAGAGACATATGATAGGTGCACCTTGTTTTTGGATACCGAATTCGGTGGCCCTACACCCGCACCGGCAGTTATGCTCGAACAGCCTCCACCTCGCATGATTGACTTCAAGCTTACAACGTCGCCTTCTCAGTCCCTTATGCATGAGAATTCCTGTTTACATGTTGGCTATGCTGAAAGTCTTGACGGCCGATGGATTACAGCTGCATGGACCGACAATCGTGGACAACGACAAGCGACCACGTCCTATTCAATCACTCGGAGCAGAACACCGGATCGTTCCGTCTCCCAACACAAGGCCGCCATCATAGCTGAGATCTGGGCGACTACGTTGACTATGATATCGATCTGGAAAGTTCATTGGCGAGTGATCATCACCAAGTCTGGGGTAATGGACCAAAGAGAGGTGGAGTGGTGGCAAGCAGCCTCAACGCTAGACGACAAACATTCATTCACCATGATTATCATGTCCGTCGATACCAACCCATCTTTGCAGCTGGTCCCGCCGATCGTGAAGATTCCTCATGCGGCAACCTCGGCGTTCTACTCAACACCAGTATCCACGCCCCAGGCTAATATTGTTTCACCGGAGCAAACCACAACGCCGGCAACGCCTATGCGTGATGCTAGCACGTTAGCTGCTACACCTACAGCCGAGGGTGCTGCAGAAGCAGAGGCCGATTCCTTCCTGATCGATGCCACTGACCAGACATGGGGTGCCATCGTCGGACATCGACTCTGTAACTCTACTACGTTACTGGAAGTAAGACCGGCACTTGCCAGTGGGTATTTGATTAAAAGAACAGGAACAAAGCTTGAAGACCCCCCGGTCGTGATGGAGGTCAATCTTGTTCACACAGAGGCTACACCTAGGGCGTACGAGCCTCTTCTAAGAGAAATGTTGTGCTATTTTAGGGGTCTCGGAACCCTAGCCAGAGCACGAGGTGTTGTAGATCGCGAGATGGATGTTCGACCTTGGCATATTGCAGCGGCAGAGAAGGGCGTGCGGGCGCTGCATCTACTATTATGATGATACAGGCATTGGGAGGCGTCGTTATTGGTAGTTGGCGTGTAGATTGTTGGTGTATGGCGTTTTTGCTTCATGGTGCATATTTGCGATTGGATAAGCTGCTTATGATTCGAATACATACCGGCATTCTATTGCCACCTTCAATCTCACCTCTCGAATTGTCGAGATGGCCATCTAGTAGGCTGTTGATACTAATGATAGTCGAGTAGCCAAGCGGACATAAGTAAATTAAGAGCAAAATGCTATATATTGAACTGTCTAGCAATAACTGCAGGTGCAAACTAAAGATCAGAAAACAAAACAAAAAAAAACACCAGCATATTATTAAAGCTATGTGTTTTTAGCTTTTAGTGCTCAAGGAATTCCTTGGACTGGGTATCTTACGAGCAAGCCATTGATTGTTATTGAGGGATTTCAAACCAGTCTCTCTCGTCCGGCCCGTCCTGACCTTTTCGACGCCAAAGTTGTCTCTCAACGTCCCATTCCCAGAATTGATGACCCGGGTGCGTGGCGAAATCGTCGTTCTGAGACTCATGGGTAGTGTTCTGATCTTCCACCAATTCAGGGGTACTTGGATGGGTATCTGCTGAGGTTGTGTCTACCAGAGACCAGCCTTGGAATTGAAAACTGTGAGAAAGAACTTGAGATGCTTCAGTTGACAACTCCCAGGCAATGTTTTCACCGGGGTCGACCATACTAGCAAAGTCCGAAGGTTGCAGCGAGGAAGTCCTCTCTCTGTGCAATTTGTCGTTGGGCGGCGAGATCCATCTCCCATCTGAATCAGACGTGCTGGAGGAGATATCAAAAGAGCCGCACAAGGAATCAGTGCTAATCTTTGATAGTCCTTCGGGCTGTTCTGACTCTGAAGCTACGGGTTTGAGGTGGGGAGGGTTTTGGGCTCTTGTGCGGCAGCGAGCCAATAGCCGCTCGAGAGTTTCTTGAGATTGTTGATTCTTGAGGATTATGCCTTGACTCTTAAAGTCTTCCCAGGTGTTGAATTGGAAGGGCAGGGTTTCCTCTAGACAGGAGGTACTTGACCCTTGCCCTTCTGGTTCAGGTCCCTGGGAATGTGCTGGGGGAGGGAGGTGGACACTCTGGTACAGTTCCTCGGGGTTATCACCAAGGACGAGGTCCTGCTCTAACCCAGGAATGATATGAACCTGGCTCGTCTCCAAGTCCTGTTCAGAGCCAGATAGAGCCCAGGAGATTTCTACCACAGAGGGGAGCCCGGAAGTATGCTTCTCGCTTGTCCCCAAAAGCTTCTCTGCTATATTTTTGGAGACGAGGCCATAGGCTCTGCCGTAGAGTATGGCACTGATTTGTAGAGGGCTCTGGGACTTGTTTCGTTGCTTGGAGAGGTTGGGATCGTTGGCAGAAACTGGCCAGCAGTTAATGATGACTAGTTGAGTGAAAACATCTGACATGTCTTCGACTTAGCGGGTAGGAGAGTATGTTCAAGGTCCTGCTCTGAAACGAGTGAGTAGCCCCAGAGGGGATATGAGGATGGAAGAGGCCCAAGACTTGTAGGAATATATCGAGTGAGGCTCCAATTTCGGACACATCACGGCAGTCAGCGGGGACCGAGGTTAGCAAAGGGAGTTGAATGGGCCTTTTTAACATTTGTGAAAGACAGGATAAACAATGATAGTCAATGACCAGTTCTAGTCAAGCCCAGTATACTAACGCCCGGCAACACAATGAAGGATGCATAACGTGAAGCATTTCTGATCAGCATTGTTGTCTTGGAACAAATCAGGCTGAGAGGGACTGGGGAATGGGGGATTTCCGATTGAGAAAGCCACGTAGTCACCCACCTGTGAGTTGTCACATTCACCGATATCACATTGCATAGATCACATCAGAATGCGGAGCTAATAATGCAGAAGACCAATTGTGAAATACAAAGCGAGGTGCTCGGGGAGTCGAGTTTGGGCCTCGAGACGTCACTGATGATACAACTACCATCAGCCCTCAGCTTCAAAGAGTTACAATTCCCTAAATAGGGACAACCCTTACAGTTTCCTGACCTATAGAACCCTTGTATATCACCGTGTCTGTCCTGCTGCTCCTATCTTCACTTTGTTATTGTTCAAGTCATGCTTGACTTGGCCAACCACGGCCAACCACGGCCAACCACGGCTCGATATCGCTCACTGAACCAGTTGGCTGCATAATAGCATGGTTCCTTGATTCTGCAGCTAGGGTGGGTTGAAAGAGAAAATGTCGCCTTCTATAGGTGAACATGGCCCTCCTAGCTACGGTATATCACCGCTGTGCAGTAGCTCGTCTGGCTGAGGGAGCGTTGTGTCTTTGTGGTTTTCTCTGCCACGTATCGGCCGTGTAAATTCCCACCATGGTACGCCATCCATGTTCGTGCCGGTACTTGATGAGGCTCAACTGATCTAGTCCATGATAAGACCAGGATCGAGAGCCTAATGTGAGGCCCGAATCGTATACTCTGGTGCTTCTCTTCCTTCATTTTCCTCGCCAGCGGTTGCTTGGAGTCTTCGACAACTTGAGTCTTCTCCCTTTTCTACTTGCTTGATAGTCTTCCGAGTGTTGTCTAAACTCGGACTTGCTGGGTATACTTAAACCTCATTCCGGCCAGGACAGGTATCGATGCTGTCATGATCGCGCGATCACATTACCCTAAAAAGAAATCGTTGAGAAAAGGTTTTAGGAGTCTCCTACCTGGACCTCTGGAGAAACGTGTGAAGCAGAAGGAGAAGGGAAAGTCACGTCCCCAAGCATCCGTATCATCGGCATCGGCATCGGCAGCAAAGCCTTCGGCATCCTCCCAAGTACAAGGACTCACAGCCTTGGCTTCAGAAACATATCCGTTACCAGAAGCACCGAACCCTCTTTTAGAGAGCAACATCGAAAGCCCCGTGGTTCACAAGCAGATCTTCATCGCAACAAACAACAGCAACATCGACGAGTCCAACATCACTACCGTTGACCCTCAGGGTCAAGCTCAGACACGAACCCTTTATCCTTTGGAATACAACACTCTCGTTACCTCAGCTCTCTATTCTGGGTCATATTCGTTACCAATATCAGGACAGGACATCAAGTATACTGCTCCCAGTTTTACCTCCTCTATCACCCAAGCATCGGACTTGGACTTTGATATCAATGACAGCTTTCCCCTGCAAGAGTCAAGCCAGACACAATTTGGGTTAGTTATTCAATACCGTTTGCATCCTTTCAACTTGACTAATATACTTTCTAGTGCTCCCTCTATCCAGAGCCCTCTAGTATCAGACTACAACCAAGACTTTGGTGTCCCCTCCGGCCCTTCTTGGCCTTCAAACATGGGACAAGACGTTCAGCTAGGATTGCCGCCATCTGCTCCCTATGTCCCCTCCTCCTCTTCTTCTGCTGGACAGGAGTTGAGCCTGGTCAAATTCACTTTTGATGGCGGTTATTCGACCTACCAAGTGGTCGAATTCGACTGCAGGTGGGACTTCAACTTCATAGCCCAGAGTTCTGTTGAAATTCTACAACGCTCATATCCTATGCAAGTCATGAGTGTCCCACCAGGAATCGGCAGAAAGACGCAATGTCCCAATGGTGGATTAATCAATATCGAACGGATCTTGTACGCCGGGATCGAGTTCGAGTCTCATCGCCTCCCATTTCCTCCTGTTCGAGTATACTTTGTCGTATACGATGACTTCGGGGGCGAGGATGGAGTTCATATGACCTTGGGCCGGGATTGGGTCAACAAAATCGAACAGGCCTGTCTACAGATTGGCTACCAAGGTCAACTATAGACTCTTAAGAGATCTATTCAAGCTCCACGCGAAGCACTAGAGATAGGTGAAGCTTCCGTGCAGTATCAGCAGGGTGATATAAGAATAGGCCGCTCTCTCAGCACTTTGACGAGAACAAAAGCGGCCTAATTTTCTTTCACCCAGTACCCCATGGTTAAATTGCAAAAACCATGGCCTACAATCATACGTTCACAAGAACCTCGATAGGCAAAAGCCAGAGGTTACGAATTGCAAAAACCATGGCCTACTATCATACGTTCACAAGAACCTCGATAGGAAGTAGCCAGAGGTTCTCGAAATGGTCCAACCCGTTTTGTCCCGTCCTTACTTTGCGTCCTTAACATTATATCGTTTTGTTTTCCTCTTTATACCTAGCTAGTCCTTTCCGATTGCGCTCGAAATATTGCAGTTTTCGGCTTTGCCATGCCCAACTCAAGGCTTTTGCCTTACAGAACTTCGTGTTGAAGGATAACGACAGGGTTGTTTAGGATGTTTTCTCCTGTGCATGACATATGTATATGCGGCCTCTGTATCTGCGGCTTGACTTACAGCTTCTTTCTATTGCTTGTTAACGGCGGGGAATGTTCTGGCGTCTTTATGATTTTGGGCTGTTTATCGATTACTTGTATGGTTTGAGGCACAGAATGGAATATCACCATACATACAAACAATGACACTCATAGGCCTAAACTCTAGTAACTTAGATCAGTGACAGGGAAATGAAGTTGAAGCGTGTTGAATAGAGACTGATAGGTCTAGGTATTAGAGGGGAGTACGTACCTACTCCCTAGACCCGCTATGACGCTCTATTTTCTACGACGTGAAACTACCTAATATTAGGCAGGCAGGCAGGCACCGCCAGTAAGCAATGGCTGACTCACTGTTAGAGTCGTACAAGTTTTTTTTTTTTCTCTTCCTCGGTCAAAATCCTTCAGGTTATAAAATCGAATTAGAACAGATTCAAGATCTTTTGATTTTTTTGACATCAGTAAAAGACAAACCTCAAGACTCGATAAGCCCGAAAATACTGCTATAAGCCAGATCAGGGTAAAAACTGCATCACTTCATAACCACCACCTCAAGAGCCTCAGGCGAAATGAAACTATGATGGACAGAACATCTCTGGCAAGTCTTCCAGATGATATTGTTCTCGATATTGTCGAGCATCTCGACACAGCTCGTGACGTAGCTCACGTTTCCGCCTTGACGAAGCATCTCCAAAGTCTTATACGCCAAGATGGCTGGCGTACCTTCGTCAAGACTCGGTTCCCATCCCTCCAGATAGATACAGACCCAGAGAGTCTCTGGAGTTCTGTTGCAGATCGTGCAACGTACTTGGATCGTTGCTGGGAGAAGCGCGGCTTCTGGGTCAATGTGTTGCATGAAAAGAAGAACCAGCCAGAAAGATTCCAGCGTCGAGTTGCTGGAAGCCAGTCAGTGCTGTTCCATTCTGTCATTGATGCGCGGCTTATGTCGTCGCCGAACAATGAGGTTATTGCCGCCGGCGTGGGTGAGAATCTTATGGTCTGCATAAAACCTGTTGATGGACAGCAAGATACCTGGTATCAGATTGGGGGCCATGATCATGGCTATCGAGCTGGCACTGGAGATGCTACAGCAACTTCTGTCACAGAGAGTGATGGGATACCGAATATTGTTGTTGGGAGGGCCAATGGTGACATTAGCATACACTCTGGCAAAGACAAGTTTGCAACAGTCGCAAGACACTTGAATCCAACGGACGAGGCACTTCTGAGCCATGCCTCCGATCCTATGCGGAAATCCCCTGGCCAAGTGGCAGTCTCATCTCTACAGTGGCATCCGGAGACGAATCTCCTGGCAAGCGGTAAAGGCTCGGTTTTGACTCTCTACAATCTCAGTGTGTCAGATGACCAAGTACTGAGCCCTTTCGATTACCATGAATTCTCCAAAGCCAGTCCTGCAGATGAGGCGTCACTCTTACGCAGCACCAAGTTCATGGGCAAAGATATCGTGGCTTGCGCTTTAGGCGGAACTCGAAATCCTCTGCGTTGGGGGCAGCTCACCCCGACTGGCTTACAATTTTTCGACGCTCATAGTAACTCTATGCACGTAGACGATGCTTCGAGGTTGATAAGTGGGGGAGTCAGTGAGAAGACCACAGTTCGAGCAATCGAGCCAGTTAGGGGCGGAAGTGAAAATCTTCTTTTGAGTGCATGGGACGATGGCACATATAGGCAGGTTTATCTCACAAGACTTATGGTCAGTTATTAACCCCTTATTCAGGCTTTTAGATATCCGAACACCTTCACCACAAGACGCAGTATACCGTGATCGCTTTCAACCCTACCAAGCAGGTAGTTCTCTCCTTGTGTATGGTACAGAGCGCTTCGTATCCGGCAGTAACACAGCACCGGATATCCGTCTATTTGACTTCAGGTACCCAAAGCCATATCATCACACAACTGCTCTTCCATGCTCGCCACAATGGCCCTTTCCCAGCCAGAAGGATGATCACATTATGAAGCAAGGATGGGCGCCAGAGCATCAACCTCAGAAATGCGATCCTCAAAACGGGGTATTGTGTTACTGGCATGGAGCTTCAAGGCGAAACTACTGGCGTCCCGATGCTACCATTCATATTGGCAGTCCCACATATGACAGGATCT